GGGGTCCCCATGATCGATGAATTATTGATGAAATATCGGTGAATGATCAATGAATTATTGATGAGTGATCAGTGAATTACCCGTGAATTGCTGATGAATGATCGATGAATTATTGATGAGCTATTGACGAATTATTGATGAGCCAATCATTAATTATTGACACCGGACGAGTCCCGGCTGCTAATGAGGTGTAATTGAGCCCCGGCAGTGTCCGGGGGCAGCGGGCTGTGACCGCCGGAGTGGCACCGTGTCCCCGTGTCCCCGTGTGTGTCCCTGTGTCACTGTGTGTGTCCCCGTGTCCCCGAGTGTGTCCCCACATCCCCGTGTGTGTCCCCGTGTCCCCGAGTGTGTCCCCGTGGGTGTCCCCATGTCCCTGAGTGTGTCCCCATGTCCCTGAATGTGTCCCCACATCCCCGTGTGTGTCCCCGTGTCCCTGAGTGTGTCCCCGCGTGTGTCCCCATGTCCCTGTGTGTGTCCCCCCGTGTCCCCGTGTGTGTCCCCATGTCCCCGAGTGTGTCCTGTGTGTGTGTCCCTGTGTGTCCCGAGTCCTGAGTGTGTCCCCCGTGTCCCTGAGTGTGTCCCTGTGTCCCCCGTGTCCCCGTGTGTGTCCCCCGTGTCCCCGTGTCCCCGTGTGGTGTCCCCCCGTGTCCCTGTGGTGTGTCCCCGTGTGTGTCCCGTGTCCCTGAGTGTGTCCCCCATGTGTGTCCCCATGTCCCTGAGTGTGTCCCTGTGTCCCTGTGTGTGTCCCCGAGTCCCTGAGTCTGTCCCCGTGTGTGTCCCCATGTCCCTGAGTGTGTCCCCATGAATGTCCCCGTGTGTGTCCCCATGTCCCCGAGTCTGTCCCCATGTGTGTCCCCGAGTGTGTCCCCAATGTCCCAGAGTGTGTCCCCGTGTGTGTCCCTGAGTATGTCCCTGTGTCCCCATGTGTGTCCCCATGTCCCTGTGTCCCCATCCCTCTGTGTGTCCCCATGAATGTCCCCATGTCCCCGAGTGTGTCCCCCTGCCCATGTGTGTCCCCCTGTTCCCAAATGTCCCCCCATGTCTCCATGTGCGTCTCCCCTGTCCCCCAAGTGTCCCCTCATGTGCCCGACACCCCCTGTGTGTCCCCCCCTGTCCCCTCCCGTGTCCCAGGGTCCCTCTGGGTCAGACTCGTTTATTGGGGGGCCCCGAGGCCGCCCCCCCCCATAATTAAATACAAACCAAAGCCCCCCTGGCCCCCCCCGTGCCCCCCCCGCCATAGTGCAAACCCCCCGTGACACCGGGACACCCCGGGGACACCCTGGGGACACCCCGGGGACACCCTGGGGACACCCTGGGGACACCCCGGGGACACCCTGGGGACACCCTGGGGACACCCTGGGGACACCCTGGGGGACAGGGGGGGTCCGGGCTGAGCCCCCAACTCGGGGTCAGTGCAAAGTGAGGTGCCCGCGGGGGGGGCGGGGCAGTGCATGGGGGGGACACCGGGTGGCACCGGGGGACAGCGGGGACAGCGGGTGGCAGTGGGTGGCAGTGGGTGGCAGTGGGTGGCAGTGGGTGGCAGCGTCCCCCGGGTCACGCTGGGACAGGGTGACACCGTGACGCCGCCCCCAGGTGCCACCCAGGTCCTGTGCCGGGTGAGGTGACAGCGCTGGGGACACGTCCTGGTGTCCCTGTAGTGTCCCTGTAGTGTCCCTGTAGTGTCCCAGTGTCCCCTGCAGTGTCCGTGTCAGTGCCAGCTCGGTGTCACCCATGTGCCACCAGTTCCCAGTCCAATGGTGACAGTTTCCACTGGTGACAGTTCCCAGTCCTGTGGTGACAATTCCAGGTCCAGTGGTGACAGTTCCTGGGCCGGTGGTGACAGTTCCTGGTCTGGTGGTGTCAGTTCCTGGTCGGGTGGTGACAGTTCCTGGTCTGGTGGTGACAGTCCCCGCTGGTGACAGTTCCTGGTTGTTCCCAGTCCGGGGTTCCCAGTTTGGTGTCCCCAGCCCGGTGGCGGCCGCTGTGCGTGGGGACGTGTCCTGGTGCAGCGCGGTGACAGCTCTGGGACAGTGTCCTGAGCCCAGTGACAGTTCTGTGACAGTGTCCTCAGTGCGGTGACAGCTCTGGGACAGTGTCCTGAGCCCGGTGACAGTTCTGTTAGTGTCTCCAGCATGGTGGCAGTTCATGGGACAGTGTCCCCAGCCCGGGTGACAGTTCATGGCACAGTGTCCCCAGCCTGGTGGCAGTTCATGGACAGTGTCCCCAGCCTGGTGGCAGTTCTGTGACAGTGTCCCCAGCCCGTGGTGGCCGTGTCAGTGTGGGGGTGGGCGCCGTGGGTGATGTCACTGGCGCGGGTGACATTGGCCATGCGGGTGACCTTGGCCATGCAGGTGACGTTGGCAGTGTGGGGTCCCCAGCAGTGGGGACAGCCCTGGCCGTGCGGGTGACACCACTGGTGCGGGTGACACCACTGGTGCGGGTGACACTGTCCTGGCAGGGTCCCCAGGAGCAGGGGGGTGTCCCCAGCCGTGCAGGTGACGCTGTCCTTGCGGGGGTGTCCCCAAGTGTGGGGTGTCCCCAAGCTGTGAGATGTCCTCTGGCCGTGACGTGTCCCCAAGCCATGGGGTGTCCTGAAGCCATGGGGTGTCCCCAGCCGTGGGGTGTCCCCAGGTCATGGAGTGTCCCCAAGCCCTGGGGTGTCCCCAAGCTGTGAGATGTCCCAGCCCTGGGGTGTCCCCAGCCATGAGGTGTCCCCAGCCATGAGGTGTCCCCAGCCCTGGGGTGTCCCCAGCCATGAGGTGTCCCCAGCCCTGGGGTGTCCCTGTCACCGCAGGGTCCCCTCAGGCCTCGGAGGCCGCCTGGGGTTTGAGCTGCGCCTTCTCCATGGCGGTGCCGTAGGGCCCCGAGCGCTTGAAGAATCCCAGCTGGGGGGGCAGGGGGGTCAGGGGTCAGGGGGGACAGGGGTCAGGGGTCAGGGGGGACAGGGGGACCCCAAATGCCCCCAGTGCCCCCCAGCGCCCCCCCGTGTCCCTCTGCCCTTCCCGAGTGTCCCCTGAGCTCCCTGAGTGTCCCCATCTCCCTGTGCTCCCTGTGTGCCCCCCAAATGCCCCCAGTGCCCCCCGAAATGCCCCCAGTGCCCCCCAAGCTCCTCATCCCCACCTTGCAGAAGCCCCCAGACCCCTTTGACCCCCCCAAATCCCCCCCAGACCACCCAAATCTCCCCCCAGCCCCCCTTTGTAGAGACTCCCCCAGAGCCCCCAAAATCCCCCCCAAATGCCCCCAGCCCCACCTTGTAGAGGCCCCCAGTCCCCCGTGACCCCCCCAGCCCCCCCAAACGCCCCCAGCCCCACCTTGTAGAGGCCGTAGCAGAGGAGGCCGAGCAGGAGCAGCCCCAGGAGCACGGCCAGGACCACCACCCACACCGGGACCCCCCCGCCCGCCTCGGGGCGCGCCCGCGACAGCGCGGTCACCACCTGGGGGGGACAGTGACACACACAGTGACACACACAGTGACACACAGGGACACACACAGTGACAGTGACACACACAGTGTCACACAGGGACACACACAGTGACACACAGTGACACCCACAGTGTCACACACAGGGTCACACAGCGCCCGCGACAGCGCGGTCACCACCTGGGGGGACAGTGACACACACAGTGACACACACAGTGACAGTGACACCCACAGTGTCACACACACTGTCACACAGCGCCCGCGACAGCGCGGTCACCACCTGGGGGGGACAGGGACACACACAGTGACACACACAGTGACACACAGGGACACACAGGGACACACAGTGACACACAGGGACACACAGGGACACACACAGTGACACACACAGTGACACACACAGTGACACACAGGGACACACAGGGACACACACAGTGACACACACAGTGACACACACAGTGACACACAGGGACACACAGGGACACACAGCGCCCGCAACAGCACGGTCACCACCCGGGGAGGGGACAGCGCCACACAGCGTCACACACAGGGACACACAGGGTCAGTGACACCCACAGTGTCACACAGGGTCACACAGCGCCCGTGACAGCGCTGTCACCACGTGACCCCCCACACAGGGTCACACAGTGCCATGCACAGTGTCAGTGCCACCCACAGTGCCACCCACAGTGTCACATAATGTCACCCACAGTGTCACCCAGTGCCACCTGCCTCGGGGCAGGACGGTGACACCACCCCAGACCTCAGTGTCACCCGTGGTGTCGCTCCCGTGTCCCCCTGGTGTCCCCAGTGTCACCTGCAGCCAGTGGCGGCTCTCGGGCAGCGCTCGGTGCGGCAGCTGTGACCCTGTGACCCCAGTGTCCCCCCCCATGTCCCCATGTCCCCGTGACCCCAGTGTCCCCCCATGTCCCCTCAGTGTCACCTGCAGCCGGTGGCGGGGGTAGCTGTCGGGCAGCACCCGGTACGGCAGCTGCAGCACGCGGAACTCGGCGTCACAGCGCAGGGACAGCGGCCACGGCTCCCGCTGGGACAGGGGGGACAGCGTCAGTGCCAGAGGGACACGCAGGGGACACAGGGACATGCAGGGGACACAGGGACACACAGGGGACAGGGGGGACAGCGTCAGTGCCAGCGGGACACGCAGGGGACACACAGGGGACACACAGGGACACACAGGGGACACAGGGACACACGGGGACACATAGACACGCAGGGGACACAGGGACATGCAGGGGACACACAGGGGACATCCCCTCAGTGCCACCGGGACACGTGGGGACACCCAAGGGCTGCTCCTGGGGAATCCCAGGGGTCTCTGGGGTGTTTTGGGGTCCCATGGAGGTCCCAGGGATGTTCTGGGGTCCCGGGGCTGTGTTGGGATCCCTGTGGTGTTTTGGGGTCCCGGGGGGGATCCTGGGGATGTTTTGGGCTCCAGGGGATGTTCTGGGGTTCCTGGGGCTGTGTTGGGGTCCCTGGGGGGGTCCCCAGGGGGGGTCTCGGGGGAGTTTTGGGCTCCCGGGGCTGTGTTGGGGTCTCACCTGTCCCGGGCGGGGGCTCCTCAGGCGGAAGCTCAGGCGCAGGCTCACGCGCTGCTGCCGCTCCAGCGCCCCCGAGGGGCAGCTCAGGCGGAAACACTCGGCCTCGGGACAGCCCTGGCACCACGGGGCACCCCGGGTCACCATGGGCACCCCCGGGTCACCACGGCCACGCCCGGGGTCACCATGGGGCACCCCGGGTCACCACAGCCACCCCCGGGGTCACCACGGCCACCCCGGGGTCACCACGGCCACCCCCGGGTCACCATGAGGCACCCACAGCCACCCCAGGCCATCCCCAGGTCATTCCCGGTCACCCCTGGTCACTGCTGGTCATCTTCTGTCACTCTCGTGTCACCCCCCTGGCCATCCCTGTGGTGACCCCCAGGTCACCCCCCTGGCCATCCCTGGTCATCCCTGGTCATCTTCCGTCACCCCCGTGTCACCCCGGTCACCCTTGGTCACCACTGGGTCACTCGTGGTCACTCCTGGTCACCCACAAGCCATTCCTGGGTCACCCCCTTGGTCACCCCCTGGTCACCTCTGGTCACTCCCGGTCACTCCAGTCCCCCCCTGCCACCCCCCGGTGTCACCCGCAGCGCCCCCACCTTGGGGACACTCGGGACGGTCCCGTGGGTGTGGCAGGGGCCAAGGGGACAGTGACACTCACCAGGGTGTCCCCAGGGCTGTCCCCAGGCTGTCCCCGCTGTCCCGGCGCTGCAGCACGTGGGGGCCAGGGCCCTGCTCCCGCTCCTGCTGGGGACAGGGGACAGCGCTGGGGACAGGGGACAGCGCTGGGGACAGGGGACAGCGCTGGGGACAGGGGACAACACTGGGGACAACACTGGGGACAGCCTGGGGACAGCACTGGCACCTCCTGATGTCCCCAGTGCCCCCCAGTGCCCCTTCTCCCATCCAATGTCCCCATTGTCCCCAGTGTCCCCAATGTCCCTGCTGTCCCGTTGTCCCCATTGTCCCCAATGTCCTCATTATCCCCAATCTCCCATTGTCTCCCCTGTCCCCATTATCTCCATTATCCCCAATGTCCCCATTGCCCCCAATGTCCCCCCATCCCCCTGTCCCCCCCATGCCCCTGTCCCCAATGTCCCCAATGTCCCAATGTCCCCATTGCCCCCCCACGCCCCTGTCCCCATTGTCCCCAATGTCCCCATTGCCCCATTGTCCCCAATGTCCCCAATGTCCCCATTGCCCCACTGTCCCCACCACCCCCATTGTCCCCATTGCCCCCCCGCACGCCCCTGTCCCCATTGTCCCCGCTGTCCCCTACCAGCCCGAGGGGGTCGCTGCCGTGGCTGGCCGTGCAGTTGTGCAGCCCCTCGTGCCCGGTGACGTAGAGCAGGGGGTGGCCGCGGTGGCCCAGGGGACAGCTGAGCTCCAGCGTGCCCTGGCTGATGGCACCGGGACCCTCGTTCACCACCTGGGGACATGGGGGGACACAGGGGGACACCCCCGGGGTGGGGACACGGGGTCAGGACATGGGGGGACACGTGGGGGATGACTCAGGGACTCCCAGGGTGGGGATGGGGGGACAGCCCCGATTTGGGGACATGGGGACCCCCAGGTGGGGGACATGGGATCACAGGACTGGGGACACAGGAACCCAGAGTTGGGGACATCAGGACCCACGATTAGGGACACAGGAACCCCAGGCTGGGGACATTGGGACCCTGCAAGTTGGGGACACAGGACCCCGGGTTGGGGACATTGTGACCCAGGGTGGAGGACACAGGACCCCGGGTTTAGGGACATTGTGACCCCCAGGGTTGGGGACACAGGACCCCGGGTTGGGGACATTGTGACCCTGGGTTGGGGACGCCGGTGTCCCGCCATGTCCCCACCTCGTAGACGTGCTCCACGGGTGGCCCCAGGTCCTGCAGCCGCCGGGGGGGGTCGGGTCCCCACCCCCCCCTCGGGGACGGTGACAACGTCGGGCCGGGACACCCTGAGGGGACAGCGGGGGGGACAGTGCTGAGTGCCAGCTCCGTGTCCCCTCCGTGTCCCCTCCGTGTCCCCTCCGTGTCCCCTTAGTGTCACTCAGAGGCTCTGGCAGGTCTCAGGTCCCCTCGTGTCCCCTCCGTGTCCCCTTGGTGTCACTCAGAGGCTCTGGCAGGTCTCAGGTCCCCTCGTGTCCCCTCTGTGTCCCCTCTGTCACTCACCCCAATGCAGATTTGGGGGGGGTGTGACAGCTCCCAGGGCCACCCCCCTGTGTGTCCCTTGTGTGTCCCCATTGTCACTCACCCAGCACGGACACCCTGGTGGCCCTGTCAGTGTCCCCATTGTCCCCCAGTGTCACTCACCCCAGCACGGACACCCTGGTGGCCCTGTCAGTGTCCCCATTGTCCCCTGTGTGTCCCCATTGTCCCCAGTGTCACTCACCCCAGCACAGACACCCTAGTGGCCCTGGCAGTGTCCCCATTGTCCCCTGTGTGTCCCCATTGTCCCCATTGTCACTCACACCCAGCACGGACACCCTGGTGGCCCTGTCAGTGTCCCCATTGTCCCCAGTGTCACTCACCCCAGCACGGACACCCTGGTGGCCCTGTCAGTGTCCCCATTGTCCCCTGTGTGTCCCCATGTCCCCAGTGTCACTCACCCCAGCACAGACACCCTGGTGGCCCTGTCAGTGTCCCCATTGTCCCCTGTGTGTCCCCATTGTCCCCATTGTCACTTACCCCAGCACAGACACCCTCGTTGCCGCCCTCACCGCCAGCGCCACCGGCACCACGGCGCTCTGGGAGTTGTTGGCGTTCTTGCTGCGGGGGGGGGGGCAGGGGGGGTCACAGCCTGGACCCCCCCCCCAGGGACCCCCGACCCCTATTGGGGACCCCAACCCCCTTGGGGACACCATTAGGGACCCCCCAACCCTGGGACCCCTGCCCAACTCAGGGACACAAACAGGGACCCCCCCCACTTTGGGGGTCACGAACCCTCCCCCCCCCCAAAAACCTCTGACAGGGACCCCCCCACCCTGGATACCCCCACCCCGGGTGCCCCCTTAGCTCCTGGGACCCCCTGACCCCAAACTGGGGGTGCTGGGACCCCTGACCCCCCCAACCCCAAACTGGGGGTGCTGGGACCCCTGACCCCCCCAACCCCCAAACTGGGGGTGCTGGGACCCCTGACCCCCCCCTGACCCCAAACTGGGGGTGCTGGGACCCCTGACCCCCCCAACCCCAAACTGGGGGTGCCACCCTCCCCGTGACCCCCCCAAAACCGCAAACTGGGGGTATCCAGCCCCTTGACCCCCCCCCCCCAAACTGGGGGTGCCACCCTCCCCATGACCCCCCCAAAACCCCAAACTGGAGATGCTGAGACCCCCCCCTGACCCCCCCAAACTGGGGGTGCCGCCCCCCCCGGATTTCGGGGCGCCCCCCCGTGCCCCCCAGCCCCACCTGCGGATCTGCAGCTCGAAGCGGACGCTGCTGCTGTTGTCGCTCAGGTGGGGGAGGGTGAAGCGCAGCCCCCCCCAGATCTGTGGGTGGGGGGGGGGGGGGGGGGGGTCAGCCGGGACCCCCCCCCCCATAACCCCCATAACCCCCCCAGAGCCCCATGGACCCCCCAAGATCCACCCAAACTGCCCAGAACCCTCCCCAAATCCCCCCAAACCCTCACAAATGCCCCCCCAAAACACCCCCAAAACCCCCTCCGGACCCCCCAAAGCCCCTCCCAGCCCCCCCCCGGAGCCCCCAGCCCCACTCACGCTGGCCCCCGCCTTCATGGGGTTGCCCAGGTCGCAGACCAGGGGGCTGGAGCCGTTGCCCCCCCCCAGCTCGCAGCTCAGGGCCGAGAAAATTCTGGGGAGGGGGAGAGAGAGAGAGAGAAATTGGGGTGGGGGGGGCGGCGTTGGTGCTGGGAGCCCCCAGCCCAAATTTGGGGCATCCCCCCCCCTTCCCCAGCCTGGACCCCTTCAAAGCATTTCTGACCCCCCCATATTTGATCCCCCCATATTTGGGGACACCCCCTGGGCCCCCCCAAAGCATTTCTGACCCCTGTGGCCCCCTCCCCACCCTCAGGGTGCTCCTCCTGAAACCCCCCCCAAACCCCCCAAAGTGCAACCCCCCCATGGCTGCAGCCCCCTCCTCACCCTCGGGGCGCCCCCCGGTGCCCCCCCCATGGCTGCAGCCCCCTCCCCACTCTCGGGGTGCCCCCCCCAAACTGCAACCCCCCATGCCTGCAGCCCCCTCCTCACCCTCAGGGTGCCCCCCAAACCCCCCCCATGGCCGCAGGCCCCCTCCCCACCCTCGGGGCACCCCCTGGTGCCCCCCCGGTGCCCCCGGTGCCCCTCACCCCGTGGGGCCGCAGCACCCCCGAGTAGAGCGCGCCCGGGGGGGGGCCGCAGGTGCAGCTCGGCCTCGTAGGCGCCCCCCTCGCCCACGTTCCGTGCCAGGAATGTCACGTTCAGGCTGTTCCTGTCCCCCAGGAACACGGCCCGGCGGTCCCTGGGGACATCGGGGACATCGGGGACATTGGGGACATCGGGGACATTGGGGACATGCCCAGGGACATCCCCAGAACACCCCCAGGAACACGGCCCACTGGTCATGGGGACATTTGGGACATTGGGGACATCCACAGGGACACTGCTGAGACACCCCCAGAACCCCCCAAACCCCCCCAGGAACACGGCCCGGCAGTCCCTGGGGACATTGGGGACATGCCCAGGGACATCCACAGGGACATCCCCAGAACACCCCCAGGAACATGGCCCAGTGGTCACTGGGGACATCGGGGACGTTGGGGACATTGGGGACATCACCAGGGACACCCCCAGAACCCCCCAGGGCCACCCTGGGCACAGCCACACCTGCCTGGTCCCCCTGTGTCCCCCTGTGTCCCCCCATGTCCCCAGTGTCCCCCCGGTGTCCCCCGGTGTCCCCCTTACGCGCTGGCCTCGAGCTGCAGGTCGGGCACACAGACGTTGTCCTCACAGTCCAGCTGGATGTGGGCCTGGGGACACGGGGACAGCACGGGGACATCAGGAACAGCATGGGGACAGCACAGGGGACAGCACAGGGGACATCAGGAACAGCATGGGGACAGCACAGGGGACATCAGGAACAGCAGAGGGGACTCAGGGACAGCACAGGGGACATCAGGAACAACACGGGGACAGCACAGGGGACACGGGGACAGCAGAGGGGACAGCACAGGGGACAGCAGAGGGGACAGCAGAGGGGTGATGGGACAATGGGGATGCATAGGACATTGGGGACATTGGGGTGATGGGGACACAGGGACATTGGGTGACACATAGGTGACATGGGTGACACAGAGGTGACACAGGTGACACAGGATGACAGAGGTGACACAGGTGACACAGGTGCCCCACAGGTGGCACAGCCGTACCTTGGCCTCCAGGCGCGTGCGCGTGGCCGGGGACAGCAGCGGGGACAGCCCCGGCGGGGGAGGGGACACGGCCGGGTCCAGGGCCAGGCTCAGCGACACCGGGATGGGCGACAGCTTGTCCCGGAACTCGGACTCGTTCTGGGAACACCCATGGGGACATGGGGACATGGGGGACAGGGACATGGGGACAGGGACATGGGGACAGGGACATGGGGACACCGGGATGGGCGACAGCTTGTCCCGGAACTCGGACTCGTTCTGGGGACACCGAGGGACATGGGGACATGGGGACATGGGGACACCGGGGACATGGGGACAGGGACATGGGGACACCGGGATGGGCGACAGCTTGTCCCGGAACTCGGACTCGTTCTGGGGACACCGGGGGACACGGGGACATGGGGACATGGGGACATGGGGACAGGGACAGGGACAGGGACATGGGGACACCGGGATGGGCAACAGCTTGTCCCGGAACTCGGACTCGTTCTGGGGACACCGAGGGACATGGGGACATGGGGACAGGGACAGGGACAGGGACATGGGGACAGGGACATGGGGACACCGGGATGGGCGACAGCTTGTCCCGGAACTCGGACTCGTTCTGGGGACACCGGGGGACATGGGGACACCGCAGGGACAGGGACATGGGGACAGGGACAGGGACAGGGACATGGGGACAGGGACATGGGGACAGGGACATGGGGACACCCACAGGGACATGGAGGACACCCGGGGAGACAGGGAGGTGACACGGGGGACCCAGAGGTGACACAGGGGCTGCCCAGAGTGACACGGGGGTGACATGAGGGGTTCCAGGGCTGTTTTGGGGTATTTGGGACAGTTTTGGGATCCTGGGGCTGTTTCGGGGTATTTGGGGCAGGTTTTGGGGTATTTGGGGCGGTTTTGGGCTCCCGAGGAAGTTCTTGGGGTATTTTGGGTGGTTTGGGGACAGTTTTGGGATATTTGGGCTCCCAGGGCTGTTTCGGAGCATTTGGGGCAGTTTGGGGCTGTTTTGGGGTATTTTGAGTGGTTTTGGGGCAGTTTTTGGGGCATTTGGGGCAGTTATGGGGTCCCAGGGCAGTTTTGGGGTCCCGGGGCAGTTTTGGGGCATTTTTGGGCCGTTTTTGGAGCCGTTTTCGGGCCGTTGGTGGCCGCCTCACCCTGAGGAACACGGGCAGCGTGCGGCAGCGTGGGGTCCCCCCGTTGGGCACCTCCAGGGTCAGGTTCCGCGTGGGGGAGGGGGGCGCCCCCCCCGCGCCCCCCCCCAGGAACAGCGCCCGCCGCGCCCCCCCCGGCTTGGCCCCGTCCACGCTGAGCTCCAGCGCCAGCCCTGGGGACACCGCGGGGACACCGAGGGGACACCGAGGGGACACGTCAGGGACAGCCCCGGCGTCCCCATCCTGTCCCCATGGCTGCTGTGCCACCCTTGGGGACACCATGGGGACACGTCAGGGACAGCCCCGGGGTCCCCATCCTGTCCCTGCAGCTGCTGTGCCACCCTTGGGGACACCATGGGGACACGTCAGGGACAGCCCCGGGGCCCCCATCCTGTCCCCATGGCTGCTGTGCCACCCACATTGTCCCTCCCGTGTCCCCTGTCCCCTGCCATTGTCCCTCCCATGTCCCCGTGTCCCCCCCAGTGTCCCCCTGTCCTCCCCAGTCCCCGTCCCCCTCCACTGTCCCCCCTTCTGTCCCCTGTCCCCCCAGTGTCCCCTGTCCCCCCAGTGTCCCCCTGTCCCCCCAGTGTCCCCCTGTCCCCTCACCGATGGGCCCGGGCAGGTGACGTCCGGAGGCGTTGAGGCAGAAGGTGACATTGATGCTGGGAGGGGACACAGGGGTGGCACCGTGTGTCCCCTCAGTGTCCCCCCAGCACGGACACCCAAGGACCCCGCGGTGTCCCCAACGCCCTGTCCCTGTGTCCCGGGAACCCCCAGTGTCCCCTCCCAGTGTCCCCTCCCAATGTCCCTGTGTCCTGGGAACCCCCAGTGTCCCCTCCCAGTGTCCCCTCCCAATGTCCCCGTGTCCTGGGAACCCCCAGTGTCCCCTCCCAGTGTCCCCTCCCAGCGTCCCCCATCCCCTCTCCACTGACCCCACCCTGTCCCCTGCTCTGTCCCCTGCTGTCCCCACCGTATCCCCAGCTGTCCCCGATGTCCTCGCAGTGTCCCCCACTGTCCCCTCGCTGTTCCCGCTTTGTCCCCTGCTGTCCTGCCCCGTCCCCGCCCTGTCCCCTCAGTGTCCCTCTGTCACCCACCAGGACACGTGGTGGCCGCTGGCCAGGGCGCAGCCGCGCTCCTCGGGGTTGAACATGGAGGGGACGATGGCCAGGGTGGCGCTGGCGTGGACAATGGGGCGGCCCCTGGGGGGGGACACGGGCTCAGGGACCGCGGCACCCCCGGGGACGCCGGGCACAGGTGACATTGGGGACAATGGTGACACGGGGGACACGGGGGACGCTCACCTGTAAACCACGGCCGCGTCCGCCCCGAAGGCGCCAACCAGGAGGTCTGTGGGGACATGGGGGGGTCACTGGGGGGACACGGGGACACTGGGGGGACATGGGGACAGGGGACAGGGACAGGGGGGACACTGGGGGGTCCCTGGGAATGGGGACAGGGGGACACCGGGAGAGGGAAAGGGATGGCAGAGGGAGGACATTGGGAAGGGTGACACGGGGATGACACAGGGATGGTGACACAGCGGTGGTGACACCGTCCCTCACCCGGGTACCCGTTGAAGGGGGTGTGACACAGGGATGGTGACACAGGGGTGGTGACACAGGGCTGGTGACACAGGGATGGTGACACAGGGGTAGTGACACAGCAGGGGTGACACAGGGGTGGTGACACAGGGGTGGTGGTGACACCGTCCCTCACCCGGGTACCCGTTGAAGGGGGTGTGGCACAGGGATGGTGACACAAGGGTGACACAGGGTGACACAGGGGTAGTGACACAGGGCTGGTGACACAGGGGTAGTGACACAGGGATGGTGACACAGGGGTAGTGACACAGGGGGGGTGGTGACACCGTCCCTCACCCGGGTACCCGTTGCCGTCCAGGTCGGTGGCCCCGCGCAGCGCGGCCCCGAAGAAGTCGGGCTGGCCCCGGGGCCCTCCCAGCCCTCGCAGCACCTGCGCAGGCCGGGGCCGCAGCCCCGCGCCCCCGCCCCGGAAGATGAACACGAGCCCCCGGCGCCCCTCGGCCCCCAGCGGGGCCCCCACGGCCACGTCTGCACGGGGGGGGACTGGGTTAGCGGGGGGGGCACCCCCATAACACCCCCGGAACCCCAAAAACCGCCCATAACCCCCCCGTGCCCTCCCATAAATTCCCTTATGCCCGCCCATAACCCCCCCATAAACCCCCTGTAAATCCCCCCAGTTTCCCCCCATAACCCCCCCAATAACCCCCATTAAACCCTCCCCATAACCCCCCCCCATAATCCCCCGTCCCTTCCCCTTTGCCCCCCGGTCCCGTTGTATCCGTCCCGGTCCCGTTTCCCCCCCCCCGTTCCCGGTCCCGTTTCCCCCCCCCCGTTCCCGGTCCCGTTCCCCCCCGTTCCCAGTACCGTTGTATCCATCCCAGTCCCGGTCCCCCCCCGTTCCTGGTCCCGTTTCCCCCCGTTCCCGGTCCCGTTTCCCACCCCCGTTCCCGGTCCCGTTTCCCCCCCCCGTTCCCGGTCCCGTTCCCCCCCGTTCCCGGTCCCGTTCCCCCCCGTTCCCGGTCCCGTTCCCCCCGTTCTCGGTCCCGTTCCCCCGGTTCCCGGTACCGTTGTATCCGTCCCGGTCCCCCCCGTTCCCGGTCCCGTTTCCCCCCCATTCCCGGTCCCGTTCCCCTCCGTTCCCGGTACCGTTGTATCCGTCCCGGTCCAGGTCTCCCAGCGCGGCGATGGCGCTGCCGAAGCGCCCGAACTCGTGGGTGCCGGTGAGGGCGGCGGGGGCGGCGGGCGGGGCCCCCCCCCGCTGCAGGTACAGGTACACCCGGCCCAGCTCCCGCGCCCCCCCCGCGCCGCCGCTGCTGCGCGCCATGAACAGAGGGGCCCCCACCAGCAGGTCCGTGAGGCTGGGGGGACACACAGGGTGAGTTTGGGGGGACACAGGGTGAGTGTGGGGGGACACACAGGGTGAGTGTGGGGGGACACACAGGGTGAGTTTGGGGGGACACTGAGCCATTGGGGGGGTACAGGGTGAGTTTGGGGGGCCCCCACCAGCAGGTCCGTGAGGCTGGGGGGACACAGGGTGAGTTTGGGGGGACACACAGGGTGAGTGTGGGGGGACACAGGGTGAGTGTGGGGGGACACACAGGGTGAGTTTGGGGGGACACACAGGGTGAGTTTGGGGGGGCACAGGGTGAGTGTGGGGGGGGTCACTGAACCATTTGGGAGGGGGAACAAGGTGAGTTTGGGGGGTCAGTGAGCCATTGGGGGGGGCACAGGGTGAGTTTGGGGGGCACTGAGTGAGTTTGGGGGGTCCCCATCAGCAGGTCCGTGAGGCTGGGGGGGCATGGGGGTCAGCACAGGGTGAGTTTGGGGGCGTCACTGAACCATTTGGGGGGGCACAAGGGGGTACAGGGTGAGTTTGGGGGCCACTGAGTGAACTTGGGGGATGCTGAGTGAATCTGGGGGGGGGCACCGAGTGAAGTTGGGGGGCACTGGGGGTGTCCTGGGGGATCCCAGGGGGTTTGGGAGGGTCCCAGGGTGTCCCAGGGGTGTCCCAGGGGGTCCCGGGGTGTCCCGGGGGTCCCGGGGGTCCCTCACCCGTCGTCGTTGACGTCGGTGGCGGCCACGGCGTAGCCGAAGTACGAGGCCATCTGGGGGGGGGGGCACAAAACGGGGTGAGGGGGGGGCCATAACGACCCCCGCCCCCCCAAATTCATGCATCCCCCCCACACCCCTCCGTGGGGACCCCACTCACAATATTAGAGCCCCCCCCGCCCCCCATTTGAGACCCCTCCCTTTTCCTCCCCCCTCCCCAACTCAGGTCCTTTCTGGGTCCCCCCAGGACCCCCAAGATCCCCCCAGGAGCCCCCCAGGACCCCCCCAGACTCCCCCAGTCCCCACCTGCTCCCCCGAGAAGTTGTACAGGGACTTCATGTTGGTGCCATTGAGGATGGTGACCTGGGGACACCGAGGGGACACTGAGGAGTCAGCTGGGGGGGGAGATGGACACGGGCACCGCAATCCCCCAGTGCCCCCCCGTGTCCCCTTTGTGTCCCCAGTGTGTCCCCAATGTCCCCAATGTTCCGAATGTACCAGGATGGAGCCGTTGTGTCCCCCCAGTGTCCCCAGTGTGTCCCCCCATGTCCCTCTCTGTGTCCCCTTTGTCTCCCCTCCTTCCCCCCCCGTGTCTCCCCCCTGTGTCCCCCTTGTGTCCCCTTCGTGTCCTCCCAGTGTCCCCCACAGTGTCCCCTCCATGTCCCCTCTGTGTCCCCCTCATGTCCCCCCTGTGTCCCCTCTGTGTCCCCTCTGTGTCCCCCCCCTCATGTCCCCTCTTACGTAGCCGTAGGTGAGGTTGCCCTTGGGGACACCGGCCACGAAGTCTGTGGGGACAAAGGGACAAAAGGGACAAAGGGACGTGCTCAGGTGTGGCCGGGGGTGGCCGTGTCACCCTGGCGCGTCACCCGCTGCCACCCACCTTGCGTGGTGTCACCGCTGAACTCCCCGACTGTCACCGAGTAGCCTGGGGGGGGGAGAGAGAGAGAGAGAGTGTCACCTGTGCGTCACCTGTGCGTCACCTGTGTGTCACCTGTGTGCCACCTGTGTGCCACCTGTGTGCCACCCTGGGGACACCGCCCATGTCACCCATGTAGCTGCCCCCCAGCTGTCCCCAGTGTCCCCCAGTGTCACCCATGTAGCTGTCCCCCCGTCCCCATGTCCCCATGTCACCCATGTAGCTGTCCCCCAGCTGTCCCCATGTCCCCCAGTGTCACCCATGTAGCTGTCCCCAGTGTCCCCATGTCACCCATGTAGCTGTCCCCATGTCCCCAAGTGTCACCCATGTCCCCCAGTGTCACCCATGTAGCTGTCCCCATGTCCCCATGTCACCCATGTAGCTGTCGTCGTGGCTGGGCTCCGCCTGCCGTGTCTGGAGCTGTCCCGGCACCTCCTGGATCAGGTACTCGGGGAAGTTCCCGGCCGTGATCTGCTCCTGGGTGGCCGACATCACCTGCCCTGGGGACAGGGGACACCTCAGCACCTGGGGACACTGCCCGGGGACAGGGGACACCTCAGACATCACCTGCCCTGGGGACAGGGGACACCTCAGCACCTGGGGACACTGGGGACACCTCACACTGCCCTGGGGACAGGGGACACCTCAGCACCCTTGGGGACAGGGACAGGGACAGGGACAACAGGCAGGGGATGGACAGGGGACAGGGAGGGCAGGGACGGGAGGGACACACAGGGGACAGGGTGGGCAGGGAGGGCAGGGACGGGGGGGACACACAGGGGACACACAGGTGACACGGTCCGGGCGGGGCGGGGCTCTCACCTTGCCAGAAGTAGCTGCCGGGCCCGCCCAGGAGCACCCGTCCGGTCTGCAGAGACAGCGGGGCCCCCCCTCAGTGGGGCTGGACCCCCAAAACCCCCCTGGGATCCCCCCTGAACCCCCCAAAACCCCCATGAACCCCCCCTGGACCCCTCCAAACCCTGCCGGGACCTCCCAAAAACCCCAACTCCCCCCAAACCCTCCCAAAACACCCCAGGACCCCCCACTGAACCCCCAAAAACCCCAATCCCCCATTAACCCCCTCTTCCTCAAACCCCACCAGAACCCCCAAAAACTCCAACCCCCACTGAACCCCCCCCAGGAACCCCCCCCAAAAACCCCCAGGACCCCCCTCCCTTCACTCCCCCCGACACCCCTGATCCCCCACCGACCCCCCAAAACCACCCTGGACCCCCCCAAAACCCCCCTAAAACTCTCCAAAACCCCCCCAGGAGCACCAAAACCACCCAAGACTCCCCAAAAACCCCCAAATTCCCCCCAAAACCCCCCAGAACCCCCCCAGCCCACCTGTGTGAACTCGGCGCTGAAGCCCCCCTGGCAATAGCCCTGCCCGGCCGCCGAGTTCAGGTCTGGGGGGACACGGGGGGGGTCAGGGGGTCCTGGGGGGCTCAGGGGGCGCTGCCACCCCCCAAAGACCAGGTCGGGTTTGGGGGGGTCACCCGGGGGTGCGGGGGGGGTCCCGGGCGGTTTTGGGGTCCCACCCGAGCGACAGTGAGGATGGGCAGGGGGGGTTTGGGGTGGTTTTTGGGGGGTTTGGGGTTTTTTTTGGGGGGTCCCAGAGGGTTTTGGGGTCCCATCTGAGCGACAGGGAGGACAGGGGGTCCCGGGGGGTTTTGGGGGTTTTTGGGGTGGTTTTGGGCGATTTTTGGGGGTGTTTTGGGGTCCCACATGAGCAGCAGGGAGGACAGGGGGTCCCGGGAGGTTTTGGGTGGTTTTGGGATGGTTTTGAGGGGGTTTTGGGGGTTTTGGGGGTCCCAGCTGAGCAGCAGGAAGGAGCTGGGGGTTTTGAGGGTTTTTGGGGGTTGTTTTGGGTGTTTTGGGGTGTTTTGGGGTGTTTTTGGGGTGTTTGGGGTGTTTTTGGGGTGTTTTTGGGGTGTTTTTGGGGTCGCACCTGAGCAGCAGGGAGGACAGGGGGCTTTGGGGTGTTTTTGGGGTGTTTTTGGGGTGTTTTCGGGGTGTTTTGGGGTGTTTTTGGGGTGTTTTTGGGGTGTTTTTGGGTCCCACCTGAGCGGCAGGGCGCATACTCCACGAACTTGGAGAAGTTGCCCAGGGACAGGAAGCAGGAGCCCACGGGCTCCCGCGCCCCCCCCTCCTCCTTGGGGGGGCTCCAGCTGTACAGGGGGGCGCAGGCCTGGGGGGGGGCACGGGCACGGCTGGGTCAGCCCATGGGGTGTCCCCAGTGTCCCCCGTGTCCCCAATGGGGTCCCCAGTGTCCCCAAGGTACCAGGATGGAGCCGTTGTGTCCCCAATGTCCCCCCCAAGGTCCCCAGTGTCCCCAATGGTGTCCCCATACCAGGACGGAGCCGTTATGTCCCCAATGTCCCCCCAGTGTCGCCAGTGTCCCCAATGGTGTCCCCAATGTCCCCACTGTCCCCCCAGTGTCCCCATACCAGGATGGAGCCATTATGTCCCCAGTGGTGTCCCCAATGTCCCCAGTGTCCCCCCAGTGTCCCCAGTGTCCCCATACCAGGATGGAGCCGTTGTGTCCCCCCCAATATCCCCAGTGGTGTCCCCAGTGTCCCCGCAGTGTCCCCATACCAGGATGGAGCCGTTGTGGGCCCTCACGGTGGCCCCGAACCACTGCAGGGATTTGAACTCCACGGGCTCGGCGCCGTCGCTGCTGTTGCCCCCAAAGTCGTGGGTGCGGGTCCCTGGGGGGGGCGGAGCAGCGGTCAGGCCACGCCCCCTCCCCCAGGGGGACCCCCCCCCCAGCCCCCCCTCACCCCTCGGGTTGATCATTAACGGAGCCAAGGCCATTGGGGGGTGGGGACAGGGACAGGGACAGGGACAGGGGGCGGTGACACCGAGCTGCCCTGGGGGGTCCTGGGGGCTGCCAGGTGCCACTGCTGTGGCCCCGTCCCCTGGGGGTGTCCCCAGCCCTGTCCCCAAATGTCTGGAGGGGGGTCTGGCCCCCCTCTTTGTCCCCATTCCTGTCCCCTGCCCATGGCCTGGTTCTGCCCCTGTTCCTGGGAGTTTCTCCCTGTCCCTGTCCCCATTCCTGGGGCTCCTGACCCTGTCCCTGTCCCCGTTCCTGGGGGTGTTGTCCCCCCCTGTGTCCCTGTTCCTGTGGGTCCTGTCCCCCCCCATATGTCCCCATTCCAGATGTGCCCCGTTCCCCCCCCCATCCCTGTCCCCTGCCATGTCCCCCCATGTCCCTGTGTCCCCAGATCCCCCCCGTGTCCCCCCGGTGTCCCCCCGGTGTCCCCTCACCGATGTGGTCGAAGTCGATGGGGGCGCAGCCGCTGCCCTCGGGGGGCCAGGGGCAGTGGAACACGGCCCCCCCCTGGGTGACGTTGGGCTGGCTCGTGTTGGCCTTGGGGGCCCCCACCAGGATGCTGACACTGGGGGGGGACACACGGGGGGGGTGGTGACACCGCGGGGACACCGCGCTTGTGTCACCCGCGGGGCACGGGGGGGGTCCCAGGGCCGCTCCCGGGCCCCTCCAGGGCTGCGAGACCCCTCCCGCTTCGCCCCGGGTCCCCCGTGGGTCACACGTGGGGGTGGGGGGGCGGCAAGGCCGTGCGTGGGTCCCCCCCCAGATGTTCGGGTCCTCCCCCAGATGTTCGGGACCCCCCGAGCCTCCCCCGAGCCCCCCGGGGGCAGCTCCCGGCTCCGGTTACAGGAAACGCTCCGGGCCCGGGGCAGGGGGGCCCCGGGACCCCCGGCGGGGGCCGGCGCGGGGGGGACATGGGGGGGACACGGGGGGGACACGGGGGGGACACGGGGGGACCGGGGCTCGGCCCCGCTGGGACCCCCGGACGGGCCGGACCCTCCCGGCTCCCGTTCCCCGGCCCCGCTTCCTGCCTCCCATTCCCGGTTCCGATTCCCGGTGTCCCGTTCCAGTCCCCGCTGCCCCGGCCCGGTCCCCGTTCCCGCCCCGCTCCCCGGCTCCGGCTCCCTCTCCCCCGTCCCGCTCTCTGTTCACGCTTTCGGTCCCGGTTCGCACTTCCCGTTCCCGTTCCCGCCGCCCCCGCCCGTTCCCGGTGGCCCTTCCCATTCCCGGTCCCGCTGTCCCGTTCCCGTTATCCCGCTCCGGGGCCGGCCCTCCTCGCCCCGCCCCGCTCCGCGGCCGCTCCCCGTCCCACCGGGCCGCTCCCGCTCCCCGCCGGCCGCTCCCGCTCCCGGTGCCCGGTTCCCGTCCCTCTCCCGGTCCCGTCCCTCGGTCCCTCCGTCCCTCGGTCCCTCCGTTCCCGTCCCGCCGCCCTCCCCGCTCCCCGCGGCCGCTCCCGCCCCGGCGCCGCCGCCGCCCCCGCCCCGTCCCGTCCCGTCCCGGTTCCCCGTGGGCGGTCCCGGTTCCCGGCGCGGTTCGTGGCCGGCGGTGCCGCTCCCGGCCCGGTCCCCGACTCGGTTCCCGGCTCGGTTCCCGGTACCTGCGGGGCTCGGGCAGGTAAAAGTCCAGCGCGAAGCCGAAGAAGGAGCCGGGGGCCCCGCGGAACACCACGGGCCGCGACGCCTCCAGGTTGAAGGCGGCGACCGGCGGCAGCAGCAGCGGCAGCAGCAGCGGCACCGGCAGCGGCACCGGCAGCGCCATCCGGGGCCGGCAGCGGCGCCGGGGCCGGGGGCGGCGCGGGGGGGCCGGGGCCGGGGCCATGGCGGTCGGGGCTGCCCGGGCTCGGCGCTGCTCCCGCTCCCGAGTCCCCTCGGAAAGTGCCCGGGGGGGGCCCGGGGCCGCCCCGCCCCGCCGTGACTCACCGGGGAGGAGCCTGAGCCCCGCCGGGCACCGGCACCGGCACCGGCACCGGCGGCGGCCCCGGGGAGCCCGGGGGGAGCGGGGACAGAAGGGACGGGGACAGCCCGGGGACAGCGGGACACACCAAGGACACCGGGACAGCCCGGGGCCATGGGGACAGCAGGGATGGGGACACCTGAAGGACGCCCGAGGGACACCCTGGGGGCAATGGGACAGCAGGGACGGGGACACCCGAAAGGCACGGGGACCCTGGGACAGTGGGACGTGAGGGACAGGGACAGTGGGACATGAGGGACAGTGGGACATGAGGGACATGAGGGACACTGGGACCTGAGGGACATGAGGGACATGAGGGACACTGGGACATGAGGGACATGAGGGACACTGGGACATGAGGGACAGGGACACTGGGACACCTTGGGACAGCGGGACGTGAGGGACAGGGACAGTAGGACCTGAGGGACACGAGAGACATGAGGGACAGGGACACTGGGACATGAGGGACACTGGGACATGAGGGACAGGGACACTGGGACATGAGGGACATGAGGGACACTGGGACATGAGGGACAGGGACACTGGGACACCTTGGGACAGCGGGACGTGAAGGCCAGGGACTCAGGGACACTGGGGTATGGGGACACTGCGGGTACTGGGACATTTGGGGACACTGGCACACAGGACACCGTGTGGGGACACGAGCGGGACAGGCACAGGGGACATGGGGGGACACGGGTGACACTGCAGGGCAGGACACAGGGGACAGGAGAGGGCCAGGCCAGGGGGTCGCAGGGCCGGGGACACCGAGGGAGGAGGGGACATGGCCGGAGGAGGGGGACACGGAGGGCAGAAGGGGACACGGAGGGCACACTGAGAGAGGAAGGGGACACCGAGAGGGAAGGGGACACGGAGGGAGGAAGGGGACATGGAGGGAGGAAGGGGACATGGAGGGAGAAGGGGACATGGAGGGAGAAGGGGACACAGAGGGAGGAAGGGGACATGGAGGGAGGAAGGGGACACGGAGGGAGGAAGGGGACACGGAGGGAGGAAGGGGACACCGCGGGGGACAGGGGGGGGCCGGATCCCGGCGCCGCTTCCTGGAAGGGAAGAGCGGAAACGGGGCCGGGGCTGGAGCCGTTCCCACGGAGGGGCGGGACCCCCCCGGGGGGACACGGGAGGGGGGAGAGAACGCCCGTGGGGGGGGGGACACGGGGAGGAGACAGGAGCCCCCCCGGGGGGGGGGGACGACACGGCGCTGGCACCGCCTTGGGGACACATGAGGGGACATTAGGAACCCCCCCCCCCGGGAGGACAAGGGGGGGGACACGGCAGGGGCGGGGCGGTGCCCCCTCCCCACCGCACGCGTGTGCGGCCCCCCCGGTGCTGGTGCAAAGGGGGGAACACGGGGGGACACGCGGGGACACCCCCGGCCCCGTGCGGGGCGCGTGGCCGCGTGTGCACGGGGGCGTGCAAGGGGCCGGGAGTGACGGGAGTGTGCAAGGGGGGCGTGCAAGGGGACGGGAGTGACGGGAGCGTGCAAAGGGGGGCGTGCAAGGGGAGGCCGGGGGCGTGCAGAGGGGGCGCGCAGGGGCCGGGGTCGGGGGCCTCGCCCGGCAGCCGCCGCATTCCAGCGCCGCTGATGCAACGGCGGCCGCGCAGCTGGGCCGGGCTCGGGGGGCTCGGGGGGGCTCGGGGGGGACACCCTGGGGACCGTGGGGACACCCGGGGACTCCCCCAGGGACACCCCCAGGGATCCCCCAGGGACACCCCCAGGGATCCCCCAGGGCAGCAGCGGCCGTGCCCGGGGGGTGGCGCGGGGGGTGGGTTTGTCCCCGCGTGTCCCCGCGTGTCCCCGCGCGTCGCCGCTGTCCCGTGTGCCCGCTGTGCCCCTCTGGGGACAATGGGGACGTTTCCGTGCCCGGGGGGGAAGTGGCGGGCGCGGAGGGGGTGGCGGGGGGAACAATGAGCTGGCGCCGGGGCCTTTCCTGCCCCGCACCGGCCCCGGGCACGCGCAGGGTGGTGGCACCAGAACTGGGTGTGGTGACACCCGGGCCGCGCGTGGTGACACCGTGCAGTGACACCGTGACCGCGGGCCGGCGCGTGGCCCGGCTCTTTCCCCCTGTCCCCAGGTTCCTCACTCTCACATCCCTGTGTCCCCACGTGCCCAAATTCCCACATCACCAAATTACCGAATTCCCGAATCCCTAAATCCTGAAATCCCCACATCCCCAAGTTCCCACACCACCGTGTCCCTAAATTCCTAAATCCCCAACTCCCCACACCCCCAACTCCCCACATCCCCAAATTCCTACATCCCCATGTCCCTAAATCCCCAAATCCCCAAATCCCCAACTCCCCACATCCCCAAATCCCCACATCCCCAAGTTCCCACACTCCCATGTCCCTAAATTCCTAAATTCCCAAATTCCCAAAGCTCCAAATCCCCTCCTGCTCTGCCCCCCCATTGTTCCCCCACCCCAGGGTCACCCCAGGGTCCCATCCCAGAGACATCCCCCAGACCCCCCGGCCACCCCTGGGGGGTGCCCCCAGCCCCATTTGGGGGGAACACCCCTACCCCCATCCCCAGGGGTGTCCCCAGTGCCCCCTCCCCGCCGTGCCCCCCCCCCCGTGCCCGTCGCGGTCCCGACGCTCCCCTGAGTCACCGGGGGGGCCCGGGGGGGCCGGGCCTGACTCACGGCCGGCTCAGCCCCGTATTTAGCCCCGTGTACAGCCCCGTATATAGCCCCGTGTACAGCCCCGTATTTAGCCCGGCCGGCGGCGGGGCCACGTCACCCCCCGCGCCCCCCCCGGCCGCTCCTGGGGGGCCCCGGGGCGCCGCCACCCCCCCGGAGCAGCCGGTGCCGCGGTGTCCCCGCGGTGTCCCCCCGGTGTCCCCGTGGTGTCCCCCCGGTGTCCCCTCCGTGTCCCCCTGGTGTCCCCTCCGTGTCCCCTCTCTGGCCCCGGGGGGCGCGGGGGGGTCGGGGCTGGCCCGGAGCCCGGGCGGGCGCGGGGGGGGGCGCGGGGGGGCCCCGGCACCGGCGCTTCCCAAAAAGGCGCTGGAGAACCCGGGGGGCGGGAATGGGGCCAGGCCGGGGGGGGGGGACACGGGGGGGACATGAGGGGACATGGGGGGACACGGGGGGCGGGAATGGGGCCAGGCCGGGGGGGGGACACGGGGGACATAGGGGGGGACACCGGGGGGAGTGTGAGTGTAGCTGGACATTCTGGGGACATGTGGGGACAGGGACACGGGACCACATGGCACAGGGAGCCGCCACACGTGTGTGCTGGCTGTGCCTGTGTTCCCGTGTCCCCAGATCCCTGTGTCACCAGGTCTCCATATCCCCGTGTCCCCATGACCCCATAGCCCTGTGTCATCATGTCCCCATGTCCCCATGACCCCATATCCCTGTGTCCCCATGTCCCCAAATCCCTGTGTCCCCATAATCCCAAATCCCTGTGTCCCCACGTCCCCAAATCCCTGTGTCATCATGTCCCCGTGTCCCTGTGTCGCCATAACCCCAAATTCCTGTGTCCACATGTCCTCATGTCCCCAAATCCCCCTGTCCCCATATCCCCAAATCCCCGTGTCCCCATGTCCCCAAATCCCCGTGTCCCCATAACCCCAAATCTCCATGTCCCCATGTCCCTGTGTCCCTGTGTCCCCACGTCCTTGTGTCCCCATATCCCCAAATCCCCGTGTCCCCATATCCCCAAATCCTCATTTGGGGTCACCCCCATGGTCCAATGGGGCATTTTGGGGTCAAATCCGGGATTTTCCCGCTGGAGCAGCAGGAGCGGATTTGGGGCCGCTCCCCCCCTTCTCTTTTTGGGGGTGAAATGTTGAGTTTTGGGGTGTCCCCTGTTTTCCCCACAAATTCCTGCCTCGGGCCTCTTTTTGGGGGATCCCAGCAGCCCCAAAATCCGGGAGAAACCACCAAAACCCCCTCGGGTGAACCCAAAACCCCCAGAAATCCCCCCAAAAGTGCCAGGGGCAGAACCCCCTTGGGGATTTGGGGACAACAAAGGTGACAGAGATTTGGGATGGCCCCGGAACATTCCAGAGCCTCCCTGCCCAGGGAATTCCCGGCCCGGGGGAGAGAGGGAAAACAAAAATCGCCATTAAAAAATGGGTGGAAAAGCGGGAGCCGCCTGTTTTTTCCCAGGCGGGAACGGCGATCCCGATTTTCCAACCCCCGCCCGGATCCGCCCTGGCAGGAAAAACTCCGGGACATGCAGGGAGAGGGGGCAGAGCTGGGAAAAAAAGGGAAAAATAGGGAAAAACAGGAAAAATCGGAAGGAGTTGGAAGAAATTGGAAGAAATTGGAAGTTGGAGGAAGTTAAGAAAAAGTTGGAAGAAGCTGGAAGAAGTTGGAAGAAGTTGGAAGAAGTTAGGAAAAAGTTAGGAAAAAGTTGGAAAAAAGTAGGAAAACTAGGAAAAATAATAAGAAAAAATAGGGGAAGAAAGGGAGAAAAAAGGAAAAAAATAGGGAAAAATAAGGAAAAAAAGGGGGAAAAAAAGGGGGAAAAGGAGGAAAGGAAATAGGGAAAATAGGGAAAAAATGGGGGGAAAAAAAGGGAAAAATCCCGCCTGGATCTGGGTGGGATTTTGGGGGAAATGCAGCGGGATCAGGCAGGGAGAGGCCGGGCCCGCAGCAGATGTTGGGATCGGGGCGGGGGTGGCGATCCCGATCCCGATCCCGCCCCGCAGCTGCGATCCCGGAATTTCCACAATTCCAGAACATTCCAGGCCCCCCCCCGCCCCCCACCCCGAGCCGGACCCAGCGGGGCGAACCCCTGGGAAAGGGGGGAAAGGATAAAAAGGGATAAAAAGGGATAAAAAGGGGATTTTTGTGCCCCAAAAGGCGGGCGGGAGCGGGGGGTGGCGGCAGCGGAGGCGGCGGTGACACAGAAATTCCCATTTCCACTTTTTCCGCCCCAAATCCGGCGGCTCCGAGCGGAGTCAGCTCCCGGCGGGGGGGGGGGGGGGGAAAGGAGGAGGAATTTGGGGAGGGGGGGGCGGGGATCTCCCCCCTCCTGGGGGTCCCGGGGAGGTCCCGGGGGGGTCCCGGGGGCGGGGACGCTCTGGGACAATTTTGGGGAAGGATTTCCAGGGTGGGTGTGGGGGGGGGTCAAGGTGGGGTGTGTCCCCCCCCCCAGGATGGGATCGGGACCCCCCCCCCCTTTGTCCCAGTACCCCGGGCACGGGGGGGGGACGGGGAACGGGACCTTGCGCAAGATGCCCCAAAATTGCCCCCCCCGAGCCCAAAATCGCTCCCGGGAGCGCCGGATCGGGGGAAAGGGAATGGGGGGAGGGGACGGGACGGGGGGGGGGGACAGGGACAGGGACAGGGGGACACCGGGGGGGTGGCAGGGACACATCAAGGGCATGGGGACAGGACAGGGGAGGTGACAGGGACACGGGAGGGGGGACAGGACAGGGGGACACCGGGAGGGTGGCAGGGACACATCGAAGGGGGTTCCAGGGACACCGGGAGGGTGGCAGGGACAGGAGGGGGGGTGACAGGGACACCGGGAGGGGACACCCCCAGCCCGCAGTGACCAGCGCGGGGGTGGCGGGGGGTGGGTGACACCAATGGAGGTGGCGCCGTCCCCAGCCGCGGTGTCGCCCCCCGGGGACAGCGGCAGCTCCCGCACGAGTTTTTATTTCCGGAAATATTTGACAGCCGGGGGGGCCCCCCCGGGCCCCGCGACCCCCGGGACCCCCCTCGCTGTCACCGGCCGGGGCCGCGCTGTCCCCAAACGCTGTCCGGCTGTCCCCAAACGTGGTCCAGCTGTCCCCAAACGCGATCCTGCTGTCCCCAAACGCGGTCCCGCTGTCGCTGGCCGGGGCTTCCTCAGCGTCAGCCCCTCCGGCGGGGCGGCGGGGTCGGGGGGAGTCACTTCGGGTGTCCTGAGGGGGACAGCTCAGTGTGGCACTTGGGGACACACGGACACAGCCGAGTGTGGCACTGGGGACACACGGACACACCCGAGTGTGGCACTGGGGACACTCCCGCCCCCCCGAGCGGTGGTGCCAGCCCTGTCCCCAGGTCCTACCTGTGGCAGGGGACGGGCAGGTCCCCCTTGGTGACCTGGAGGATGAACGGGGGGGGCTCCTCCAGCTCCTGCTCGCTCAGCTCTGCACGGGGACACCGGGGGGACAAAGTGGGGACAGGATGGGGACATGGCGGGGACAAAATGGGGACATGGTGGGAACACAACAGAGACACCATGGGGAGACCATGGGGACAAGACAGGAGCATGATGGGGACATCATGGGGGACACCGTGGGGACAGCGTGGGACCCTCACCTGCGTCCCAGTCCTCCTGGCACGGGGGGGGCTGCCAGGTGTGCGCTGTCTTGGTCATGTCCTCAGGTTCTGCGGGGACACAGGGGACAGCGGTGAGGGGACACACCTGGGACACCTGGGACACACCTGGGGGGACATTGGGGACACCTGGGCACACCTGGGGGCACACCTGGGCACACCTGGGCGCACACCTGGGGGTCCCAGCGTACCTGGGGGCAGCTCGAGTGGCAGTTTGTCGGGGCACGAGGTGACGTGGGCGCGCAGGAGCGCGCGCGGGACGCGGTGGCGCGCGTTGAAGGGACACGTGGCCAAGGTGCGCGACACCTGCGGGTTGTTCTGGGGACAAGGACACGGGGGGGCGGGGCTAAGGGGGGGCGGGGACGACACCGAGCCCCGCCCTGCACCCCAAACCTGAGACCCCGCCGAGCCCGGACCCGCCCAGACCCCGACCCCAAACCTCTGCAGAGCCCAGACCCCAATTCCCGCACACCTCAGACCCCAAACCTCTGCAGACCCCAGACCCCAAACCCCTGCAGATCCCGACCCCAATTCCCGCAGACCCTGACCCCAATTCCTGCAGACCCTGACCCCAATTCCTGCAGACTCCGACCCCAAATCCCTGCTCACCCTGACCCCAAACCCCTGCAGACCCCAGACCCTCATATCCTCCCCCCGGCAGGTCCTGGACCCCAAAACCGACCACTCACAGGCCCCTCTGTCCCCCCCATCCCGCTGTCCCGCTGTCCCTCTGTCCCCCTGTCCCGCTGTCCCCCTGTCCCCCCCATCCCGCTGTCCCGCTGTCCCCCTGTCCCGCTGTCCCCCCATCCCGCTGTCCCGCTGTCCCGCTGTCCCCCTGTCCCGCTCTCCCCCTGTCCCCCTGTCCCCCTGTCCCCCTGTCCCGCTGTCCCGCTGTCCCCCTGTCCCGCTGTCCCCCTGTCCCCCGCGCACCTGCTGGCAGCGCACCAGGTGATAGGGCAGGCGGGACACGCGCACCTGGTGGCTCCGGTCGTACGGGCACTGCACGAGCGCGTCGGGCTCCATGCGGGCCCGAGGGGCCCGACGGTACCGGGCACGGTACCGGTTACGTCCCACCGGGCACCGTTCGGTACCGCCGGGCACCGTTCGGTACCGATTATGTCCCAGCGGGCACGGTTCAGTCCCAGTTCGGTCTCACCGGCCACAGTTTGGTCCAGGCAGTCCCGGTTCGGTCCCACCACTCCCGGTTCGGTCCCGGTTCGGTCCCACCGGTGCCGTTCGGGTCTCACCAGAGTTGGTTCTGTCCCGGTCCGGTCTCACCAGCGCCGGTTTTGCTTTACGGCAGCGTCGCCGTTACCGCGGCAACGGGCGCCGCTCCCGGGTCCTCCGAGCCGCTGGGGGGCGCCGCGGCGCCGCCTGGAAGGCGCTGAAAATAAATGGGGAATTTCTCGGGTTTTTGGTTGATAATTCCTGCCCCGAGATGCGCAGGGCGTCTCTGCTTCGGCCCGCGCGGCTGAAAAACGAGTCTGGACCCTTCGCTTTTCGGTCTTGAGGTTGTTTATTAATTCTTATCTATAAAATTTCCTTTCTGCCCAGCCAAGGTCAGCTCAGCAGGGCAGCCGCAGGCACTGTGACCGCCCCCGGGGTGGTGTTGTCCTTTTATACCACAAACTACGTGTATCATATTTACACTTAATTCCCAATACCTGTCACCCATGTTAGACAGTGCACTTCTACTCTAAACCAATCCCAAAGTGCCAACATCACTGCAATAAAATGGAGAACGAGAAGAAGAAGGAGAAAGGCCGGATGCACCCAAGTTCCTCCATCTTGTCCCCATAACCCCCATTCCAAAAATCCTAAAATCGACATTTTCACCCTGTGATATTTTTATTATTACACCATTCAAACCTGTGTGACTTTCAGGTCCTCATGCAAAGCTGGTCATTTGCTCCAGGGGTCAAAATCAGATCCCCAGGTGTTCTGGGCTGTGTGCCAGGGTCTCCGAGCCCCTTGGCAAAACTCTGGACACCCGGAGGGATGGACTGAGTTCAGACAGGAATTTATTAAAAATTAAAAGCTTTCTTCCCAAAATAAATTAAGAATTCATTAAAAATTCCTAATTAAAAGGCTTTAAAGTAGAAGAGCCTGGCCGGGGCTAAACCCAAGCTGGACCCAAATGGACTAAAAAAAAATTATATTTTTATATTTTCGCACCTTTGTAACTTTTGGTTCATTTGTGTATTGGGGTTATTTGTCTAATTAAAGTTTTGTGTTATGAAGTTCCATCCTCCTGGGTGATTTTGTCAATTTGCTGTTGTTTACAACTTTTGGGCTTGAGGCTGTTACGGTGTCCTTGGATTTTGGGATGAGGAGGATTGTTCTGTTTAACTAAAAAAAAATTTAAAAGTTAAAAATTAAGGCATCGATGGCAACAGGGGAAAATTTGGGTCTGAATGGGGCCTGACTGGGCTCAAACAGGCCCAAATTGGGGTTTTATAGGCCCGGTTTGGGCCATATGGGACCAGATTAGGGTAAATGGGCCCAGATTGGGGTAAATGGGCCCTGACTGGGGTAAAAGGGGCCAGATTGGGGTAAATCAGCTCTGAGTGGGGTAAATGGGCCCAGTTTAAGGTTAAAGGGCACAGTTTGGGGTTAAATGGGCCCTGATTGGTGTAAAATGGGCCCTGATTGGGATCCCCTGATTGGGCACAAAGGGGACCCAAAAGGGGCACAAAGGGGACCCAAAAGGGGCACAAACAGGAGTGAATTTGGGTTCCATGGGCTCAAATTGTGTCTATGTAGGGCCGTGACCCCGATACAGGGCCGTGACCCCATATAGGGCCCTGATTGGGGTAAAATGGGCCTAGATTGGTGTCCCCTGATTGGGGACAAATGACACCAGTCTGGGGATAAAAGAGACCCAAAAGGGGCACAAACGGGAGTGAATTTGGGTTCCGTGGGCCCAAATTGGTCCCGTACAGGGCCCGGTCCCCGATTTCGGGCCCTGAGCTGGGGCTGGTGGAGCCCCCGCTGGGGCCGATGGTGGCGCGGGCCAGCGCCACCCGCGTCCCCACCGCCGCTGTCCCCGCGGTGTCACGGGGCGGTGGCAGCCCTGTCACGTGCTCCCCGCGGCCCCGGCGCTGCCGGGCCCAGCCCAGGAAGGGGAAGTTGGGGTTTGGGGCCTTCTGGGGACTCTGGGGGTGCCACCGAGGTGCCACCATGTCCCTGCCCTCGGTGTACGGGGACAAACTGGCTGAGAAGCTGACGCTGCTCAACGAGCGGGGCCAGGGGGTCCTCGTGAGGGTCTACAACCTCAAAAAGGTCTGGGGTGGGGGGTCCTGGGGGTCACCCGAGGGTCCCCAAACCCCCCTGGCCATGGGGAGCAGCCAAGGGGATCGGGGGGAGCGAGGGATGGGGGGATTTGGGGGATTTGGGGAGGGGGCACAGCCCAGGAGGGGATTTAGGGGGGATTTGGGGGGGTCCTGGGCAGGGAGGGGCTTGGACAGGGGGGGTTTGGGGGGTCCCAGTCTGGGAGGGGGAATTTGGGGGGGTTTGAGGAGGGGGTGTCTCAGTTTTGGGGGAGGTTTTGGAGGGATCCCGACCCTAAGGGGGAATTTGGGGGGTTCCAGGGAAGGTTGGGGTAGGGTGGAGGTTTGGGGGGTTCCCAGCCTGGGAGGGGTTTGGGGGGATATTATGGGGAGGGGTGTCTCAGTTTTGGGGTTATTTTTTGGGGTATCCCAGCCCCGGGAGGGGTTTTTGGGGTCGTTTCGGGGGGTTCTGACCCGGGGGTCCCCCAGACGTGCTCGGACCCCCGCACGCGGCCGCCCTTCCTCGGGGACAAGGCCATGGAGGCCTCGGCCAAGTTCATCCTGAAGAAATTCCCGCACCTGGACGTGCGCAGCAGCACCGTGAGCCATTGTCCCCCTGTCCCTGTGTCCCCGTGTCCCTGCTGTCCCCTGCCTTGTGTCCCTGCTGTCCCCACCCCCTGAGTCCCCACTCTCCCCGTGTCCCCACCCATGTGTCACTACCTCTTTGTTCCTGCCCCAGTGTCCCCCCTGTCCCTGTGTCCCCAGTGTCCCCGCGTCCCCTCCCTTGTGTCCCTGCTGTCCCTGTGTCCCCTCCCTTGTGTCCCTGCTGTCCCCCCCGTGTCCCCCCCGTGTCACCCACGCTGCTGTCCCCCCCGTGTCCCCACAGCAGCACCTGGGCCCGGTGCACAAGGACAGAGGGGACATCGTGCGGGCGCTGGCTCCGTTCTACCAAACCTTCCTGGACGTGCTGGAGTTCCGGGTGAGCCGGGAGGGGACAGGGGGGACAGAGGGGACATGGGGGACATGGGGGACAGTCAGGGTCCCTCAGAGCCAGGGACATGGGGGACATGGGGGACAGCCAGGGTCCCTCAGGGCCGGGGGACACGGCGGTGACACACAGCGCTGTCCCCTTGTCCCCAGGACCACGTGTACGAGCTGCTCAACACCATCGACGCCAGCCAATGCTTCTTCGACATCGTGAGTGCCACCCCCGAGTGCCACCCCCGCGCTGTCCCCGCTGTCACCGCGCCCTGACGCTGTCCCCTCCCCTCCAGCACATCAACTACGACTTCACCAAGGGCTACCTGGACCTGGTTGTCACCTACGTGTCGCTGGTGCTGCTGCTGGCGCGCGCCGAGGAGCGGCGCCTGCTGCTGGGGCTCTACCAGTGCGCGCACGAGATGAGCCACGGCGCCAGGTGCCACCTGCTGTCCCCAGGGCCACCCTGCTGTCCCCGGGGCTGGGTCCCCACCGGGGCTGTCCCCAGGCCGCCCCGACTGACCCCGTGCTGTCCCCAGGGCCGTGTCCCCACCCTTGCTGTCCTCAGGGCCGTGTCCCAAGCCCAGCATTGTCCCCAGTGTGTCCCCAAGGCTGTGGCCTCATTGGGGTCATCCTGGGGTCATCCCCACTGTGTCCCCAATGCCAGGGCCGGCCCTGGGGCTGTCCCCAGTGTGTCCCCAACAACAGGGTTGACTCTGGGGTGGCCCCCGGCGTGTCCCAAACTTGTGCCCAGTGCCAGAACCAGCCCCGGGTTTGTCCCCAACGTGTCCTCAACGTGTCCCCAATGCCAGAACCGGCCCTGGGGCTGTCCCAGATGTGTCCTCAGTGTGTCCCCAATGCTGGGGCCGGCCCCGAGGCTGACCCCAATGTGTCCCCAACGTGTCCCCAACACCGTGTCCTCGCAGCGAGCCCAGCTTCCCCCGCCTGGCGCAGATGGTGCTGGAGTACGAGCACCCCCTGAAGAAGCTGCCCGAGGAGTTCGGGCCCCACACCAAGGTGGGTTGGGGGTCCCCAGCAGGGCCACCCCCCTGTGGGGGCCGCCCCGTGTGTCCGGGTGGTGTCCCCAGCGTGGCGCTGCTGTCCCCAGGCCGTGAGCTGCGCGCTGCTGTCCCTGCGGGCCCCGTTCGCGCGGCGCTGCCGGGACGCGGAGCTGTGGCGGCAGGAGCAGCTGCTGTCCCTGCTGGGACCCGCGGGGGACATGCTGAGCCCGGTCACCTGCGACAGCGTGAGTGACATGGGGACATGGGGACAGGGGGACATGCTGAGCCCGGTCACCTGCGACAGCGTGAGTGACATGGGGACATGGGGACATGCTGAGCCCGGTCACCTGCGACAGCGTGAGTGACACCTGTGGGGACATGGGGACATGGGGACAGGCTGAGCCTGGTCACCTGCGACAGCGTGAGTGACATGGGGACATGGGGACAGGGGGACAGGCTGAGCCCGGTCACCTGCGACAGCGTGAGTGACATGGGGACATGGGGACAGGCTGAGCCTGGTCACCTGTGACAGCGTGAGTGACACCTGTGGGGACATGGGGACAGGCTGAGCCCGGTCACCTGCGACAGCGTGAGTGACATGGGGACATGGGGACAGGCTGAGCCTGGTCACCTGTGACAGCGTGAGTGACATGGGGACATGGGGACAGGCTGAGCCCGGTCACCTGCGACAGCGTGAGTGACATGGGGACATGGGGACATGGGGACAGGCTGAGCCCGGTCACCTGTGACAGCGTGAGTGACACAGGCACAGGGGTGTGGTGACACAGGGGACAGGAGTATGGTGACACGGGGACACGGGCACTGGGGGCTCAGGGGACAGTGACGTGGTGGCACTGCTGTCCCCAGATGGCCTGTGAGTACCTGTCCCTGGAGGTGATGGAGCGCTGGATCATCCGTGAGTGTTGGCACTGCCTGAGTGTCCCCAAACCCTCCTGGGCCGT